AATTTTCATTGCTCTTCAAGAGCTGTTACGGTCTAAGGGATTGAAATTAAAGAAAAGTACTTTAGAGACATTTATCCAAGAGGTTGATGTGGTAGCCCCTTGGTTTGCTGATTCTGGTAATTTAACCACCAGTTGCTGGGACAAGCTTGGAAAAGATCTAGATTTGCCTGGGCACAGGGAACGCTGAAGCCAGGGATTCGGCCTATTTGGAAAATGTTTCGAAGCTGTATAGAGGATCAAAGATGCCTCAAGGCTGTAGAAAAGGGGCAAGAGACGTTAGAACAGCTGAAGGAAATAAACAGATGCAAGTCATGGGGCCTGTGCAGCACGGTTTACAGTTGCTGTCAGCCCTACCCAATCATGAAGAACCTGATTTGTGGTGTGTGCAGCATAGTATTAGGTTTGCTTTTACTTTACCTTCTATTCTATTAGATGAGTGAGTGGTTTTACCCCAGGCTATGGCCAATAGCCCCACTATGTGTCAGCTTTTTGTGTGTCATGCTATTGTTCCTATTAGAGAGAAATACCCTGCTATGAGATGTGTCCACTATATGGATGACATATAGTGTTATGTTAACTAGTAAGGAGTTGAAATTGCTGCACTTAGCATATGGAGATTTAGTAAAGACCTTGGAGAGGAAGGGATTATACATAGCCCCAGAAAAGGTCCAGCAGGCTAGTGTTATTAACTATTTAGGAGCTAAGATAAATAAAGATTGTGTTGTGCCACAAAAAATAACACTTAGATTAGATACATTACAAACTTTAAATGATTTTCAAAAATTATTAGGAGATATAAATTGGATCCGACCATTTTTGAAGCTTTCTAATCAAGAATTAAGGCCTTTATATGATACCTTAATTGGCAATCCTGATTTGAATTCCCCTCGGGTGTTAACTGATGCAGCCCGAGTAGCCTTGCAAAAGGTGGAACAGATCTTGAGCACAGCTTCCTCAATGCAGTGCATTCCAAATCAGCCCATTTGGCTGTGTATTCTGGCAACCGTTTGTCAGCCTACAGGAGTGTTATGGCAGGGAGCACCGTTGTTGTGGATCCATCCCAGAAGCAAAGTGAATAAATCAGTAAAGCATTACCCCACCAGTGTGGCTATGCTCGCCTTGATGGGGATTCAACAGTGTTTACAGTATTTTGGATGTCAACATGATGTGCTCGTTACTCCTTTTTCTGCTGCTAAAATAAAAGTTTTAGTCGCATCTTTGGATGAGTGGCCAATTCTAAAGTGCAGCTTTGATGGGATCTAGATAATCATTATCCTAAACATCCTATGTTAAATTTCTTTAAAGAGCACCCAGTAATTTTCCCAAGAGTGACTCGTAAAGAACCTATTAAGGGTGCTGTGAATATTTTTACTGATGGATCCAAGACTGGGTGTGGTACTTATGTAATTGGAGAGAGTGCCCCAGTTGTTTGTCAGTTCATGCCGGGGTCACCTCAAATTGTTGAATTTCAGATAGTTCTTGAAGTGTTTAGGAAAGTCCCTGAGGCCTTTAATTTAGTTTCAGATTCTAATTATGTTGTTAATTTGGTGAAAGATTTGGAAGTTGCCAGGAAGGTGAAGGTAAATAGCCCTATTCAGCCATATATAATACAGCTGCAGGAGTTGATTTGGAGGCGTTCATAGCCCTTTTATATTCAACATATTAGGGCACATTCTGGATTGCTGGGACCAGTTAGTGAGAAGAATGATTTAGTGGGCAAATGTATCCGAATGCACTTTATTTTTAGACAAATGTAGATCTGAAGCATGGACTTCCTTATAATCCTCAAGGTCAAGGTATCATTGAACGAGCTCATCGAACCTTGAAGGAATGTCTAATAAAACAAAAAGGGGGCATAGGCCATCACTGCACCCCCAAGGAAAGAATATCTTTAGCTTTATTGACTCTTAATTTTTTTCAACTGGATGTGGATGGGTGTTCGGCTGCTGATCGCCATGGTAGTGCCCTTCCCTGTACTAAGGGATTGGTAAAATTGAAGGATGTTATTACTAGACTGTGGAAGGGTCCTGACCCTGTGCTATTATGGGTGAGAGGGTCTGTTTGTGTTTTCCCTCAGGATCA